GGCTGGCTGTATTGATTTTATAGGCAGTGTGAACTTATTAGGCTGGCTGTATTGATTTTTAGGCAGTGTGAACTTAGGCTAGCTTTACTGTTTTTAGGCAATGTGAACTTATTAGGCTGGTTGTATTGTTTTTAGACAGTGTGAAGTTAGACTGGCTGTATTGTTTTTAGTCAGAGTGAAGTTAGGCTAGTTGTATTGTTTTTAGGCAGTGTGAAGTTGATCTGGCTGTATTGTTTTTAGGCAGTGTGAACTTAGGTTGGCTGTATTGTTTTTTTAGGCACTGTAAACTTATTAGGCTGGCTGTATTGTTTTTTAGGCAGTGTGAACTTATTAGGCTGGCTGTATTGTTTTTTAGGCAGTGTGAACTTATTAGGCTGGCTGTATTGTTTTTTAGGCAGTGTGAACTTATTAGGCTGGCTGTATTGTTTTTTAGGCAGTGTAAACTTATTAGGCTGGCTGTATTGTTTTTTAGGCAGTGTGAACTTATTAGGCTTGCTGTATTATTTTTTTAGGCAGTGTGAACTTATTGGGCTGGCTGTATTGTTTTTTAGGCAGTGTGAACTTATTAGGCTTGCTGTATTATTTTTTAGGCAGTGTGAACTTATTAGGCTGGTTGTACTGGTGTAGAAAACACTGGAGGGAGCTGCCCCACACAAGGAAGTGTCTGGTCGTGATGGTGGGGATGAACGTACTCCTGATGCTGGAGGTTCTGGACTTCCCTCCCGTGTGGTGGACGTTTGACGCCCACAGTCTGTGGCATGCTGGGACAGTTCCCCTAGGAATCCTGTGGTACAGGTCAGTGAAATGGGGTCTTGTTATTACGATGTTTGTTTTGTCCTGGCTTCAAGACCATATAGAACAGAGTTTAATTAGTCAAAATTTTGAATTTGAATAGCTTGTGATTAAAAATATGTAAGCTCTTACTTTTGCAGGTTTGTTTAATGTTCTTATTTGAACATATGGTAATACTTTTCATTATCAGAATTATTGCAAAAGCTATATTGGTTTGAAAATTTGATGTAAGTAATAGTTTGCTATCAGTTTTTATACCCCCCGCAAACGAAGTTTGGGGGGGTATATAGGAATCACCTTGTCCGTCTGTCTAGCTGTCCGTCTGTCCGTCAGTCCGTCTGTCTGTGCAATCGTGTCCGGTCCATATCTTTCTTACAGAGGGACATTAGAATCTACTACTCCACACTAAGATTGCTCATGACCTAAGGGTGTGTCATGACCTTGACCCAAGGTCATTTGGGGAAGTTCAAGGTCACTGGAAGAAAAATTTCATAATTCGTGTCCTGTCCATATCTTTCTTATGGATAAACTTGGTAGGTTCTCATTTCACACAAAGATTGACCATGACCCAAGGGTGTGTCATGATCTTGACCCAAGGTCATTCGGGGAAGTTCAAGGCCACTGGAAGAAAATTTCATAAATCATGTTTGATACATATCTTTTATAGATAAACTTGGTAGGTTCTCATTTCACCCAGAGATTGCTTATGACCTAAGGGTGTGTCATGACCTTGACCCAAGGTCATTTGGAGAAGTTCAAGGTCGCTGAAAGAAAAGTTTCAATATTCGTGTCCGGTCCATATCTTTCTTATGGATAAACTTGGTAGGTTTTTATTTCACACAGAGATTGCCCATGACCCAAGGGTGTGTCATGACCTTGACCCAAGGTCATTTAGAGAAGTTCAAGGTCGCTGAAAGAAAAGTTTCATTATTCGTGTCCGATCCATATCTTTCTTATGGATAAACTTGGTAGGTTTTTATTTCACACAGAGATTGCCCATGACCCAAGGGTGTGTCATGACCTTGAAACAAGGTTATTTGGGGAAGTTCAAGGTCACTGGAAGAAAAATATCATAATTCGTGTCCGGTCCATATCTTTCTTATAGATAAACTTGGTAGGTTCTCATTTCACACAAAGATTGCCCATGACCCAAGGGTGTGTCATGACCTTGACCCAAGGTCATATAGGGAAGTTCAAGGTCACTGGAAGAAAAGTTTCATAATTCAAGTCAGGTCCATATCTTTCTTATGGATAAACTTGGTAGGGTTCTCATTTCACTGAAATATTGCCCATGACCCAAGGGTGTGTCATGACCTTGACCCAAGGTCATTTAGAGAAGTTCAAGGTCACTGGAATAAAAATTTCATAATTCGTGTTTGATACATACATGTATCTTAATTATGGAAAAGCTTACTTCTGAAAAACCCAGCGGGGGGTATTTTGTCCCGTTTGGACAGTTCTAGTTAGCTCTACTGGTCAGAGACCAGAAGAGCTTATGGGATAGTAATGCGTCCGTCTGTCTGTCTGTCTGTCTGTCCGTCTGTAAACAATTTTTCAAAATGCTACTCCTCCTACAGTTTTGGTATGATTTCAATATAACTTGGCACACAAGTAGACTACACTAAGATACATAATTCTGTGTATCGGTTTTTGATTTCGACAAACGATGTAGGCGTTGTTACTAAAAATAGAAATTTCTGTGAAATTCTTTCAAAATGCTACTCCTCCTATAGTTTTGGTCTGATTTCAATATAACTTGGTATATAAGTAGACTACACTAAAATACATAATTCTGTGTATCAGTTTTTGATTTTGACGAATGGTGTTTGCATTGTTACTAAAAATAGAAATTTCTGTGAAATTCTTTCAAAATGCTACTCCTCCTACAGTTTTGGTATGATTTCAATATAACTTGGCACTCAAGTAGACTACACTAAGATACATAATTCTGTGTATCGGTTTTTGATTTTGACAAACGGTGTAGGCGTTGTTACTAAAAATAGAAATTTCTATGAAATTCTTTCAAAATGCTACTCCTCCTATAGTTTTGGTCTGATTTCAATATAACTTGGCACACAAGTAGACTACACTAAAATACATAATTCTGTGTATCAGTTTTTGATTTTGACGAATGGTGTTTGCATTGTTACTAAAAATAGAAATTTCTGTGAAATTCTTTCAAAATGCAAAATGACTTCAATGAACATTATTACCTTGGTTAATAAAGATAGCAATTTCTGTTACTCTCAAAATGCTACTTCAAATACAGTTTTAGTCTGATTATAATATAATGTGGCATGCAAGTAGACTACACTAAGAACTTAAAGAGACTTACCATATATACTCGCCTATAAGTCGGTCCGCCTATAAGTAGGTTGTATTTTATAAGCTTATATTTCATAAGGACTGACCTCATATAATACCATTCATTTTATAGCTCGCCTATAAGTCGAACATAGAGTTTTGGACCAGAAATTAACTCCCAAAAATCCGACTTATAGGCGAGTATATACGGTATTCAAGGATCATTATTCTCTTTTTTGCTAGTGTAAAGTTTCAATTCCCAACTGCTTAAGTACTTTCGTCTTCCTTTGCTATAAATACAAACCAGTAGAGCTTCAGTCTCGACAGAGACATCTGGTTAGTCTTAGGGCCAGGTAATCATGTAATTTTATGGCGCCTGATTCCACATTTGATGTTTTAGAATTTATATTGTCCAAGTGCACTTGTTTTTAGCTCTACTGGTCAGAGACCAGAAGAGCTTATGCGATAGTAATGCGTCCGTCGTCCGTCCGTCTGTCTGTCTGTCCGTCTGTCTGTCTGTAAACAATTTTTCAAAATGCTACTCCTCCTACAGTTTTGGTCCGATTTCAATATAACTTGGCACACAAGTAGACTACACTAAGATACATAATTCTGTGCATCGGTTTTTGATTTCGATGAACAGTGTTGCCGTGGTTACTAAAAATAGAAATTTCTGTGAAATTCTTTCGAAATGCTACTCCTCCTACAGTTTTGGTCCGATTTCAATATAACTTGGCACACAAGTAGACTACACTAAGATACATAATTCTGTGCATCGGTTTTTGATTTCAATGAACGGTGTTGCTGTGGTTACTAAAAATAGAAATTTCTGTGAAATTCCTTTCGAAATGCTACTCCTCCTACAGTTTTGGTCAGATTTCAATATAATTTGGCACACAAGTAGACTACACTAAAATACATAATTCTGTGCATCGGTTTTTGATTTCGATGAACGGTGTTGCAGTGGTTACTAAAAATAGAAATTTCTGTGAAATTCTTTCGAAATGCTACTCCTCCTACAGTTTTGGTCCGATTTCAATATAACTTGGCACACAAGTAGACTACACTAAGATACATAATTCTGTGCATCGGTTTTTGATATCGATGAACGGTGTTGCCGTGGTTACTAAAAATATAAATTTCTGTGCAATTCTTTCAAAATGCTACTCCTCCTACAGTTTTGGTCTGATTTCAATATAACTTGGCACACAAGTTGACTACACTAAGATGCATAAATCTGTTTATCGGTTTTTTATTTCGATGAACGGTGTTGCAGTGGTTACTAAAAATAGAAATTTCTGTGAAATTCTTTCAAAATGCTACTCCTCTTACAGTTTTGGTCCGATTTCAATATAACTTGGCACACAAGTAGACTACACTAAGATACATAATTCTGTGCATCGGTTTTTGATTTCAATGAACGGTATTGCCGTGGTTACTAAAAATATAAATTTCTGTGAAATTCTTTCGAAATGCTAATCCTCCTATAGCTTTGGTCCTATTTCAATATAACTTGGCACACAAGTTGACTACACTAAGATACATAATTCTGTGCATCGGTTTTTGATTTCAATGAACGGTATTGCCGTGGTTACTAAAAATAGAAATTTCTGTGAAATTCTTTCAAAATGCTACTCCTCCTACAGTTCTGGTCCGATTTCAATATAACTTGGCACACAAGTCGACTACACTAAGATACATAATTCTGTGCATCGGTTTTTGATATCGATGAACAGTGTTGCCGTGGTTACTAAAAATAGAAATTTCTGTGAAATTCTTTCGAAATGCTACTCCTCCTATAGTTTTGGTCCTATTTCAATATAACTTGGCACACAAGTTGACTACACTAAGATACATAATTCTGTGCATCGGTTTTTGATTTCGATGAACAGTGTTGCCGTGGTTACTAAAAATAGAAATTTCTGTGAAATTCTTTCGAAATGCTACTCCTCCTATAGTTTTGGTCCTATTTCAATATAACTTGGCACACAAGTAGACTACACTAAGGTACATAATTCTGTGCATCGGTTTTTGATTTCAATGAACGGTATTGCCGTGGTTACTAAAAATAGAAATTTCTGTGAAATTCTTTCAAATTGCTACTCCTCCTACAGTTTTGGTCAGATTTCAATATAACTTGGCACACAAGTAGACCACAAGAAAATACATAATTCTATGTATCGGTTTTTGATTTTGATTAACGGTGTTGCCATGGTAACTAAAAATAAAAGTTTCTGAGAAATTCTTTTAAAATGCTACTCCTACAGTTTTGGTCTGATTTCAATAAAACTTGGCACACAAGTAGACTATACTAAGATACATAATTCTGTGCATCGGTTTTTATTTTGGTGAGTGGCAAGGATCATTTTTCTATTTATTGCTGTTTTAAAGTTTCAAGTCCCAACTGCTTCTTTTCTCTTCCTTTGTTTTAAGTATAAACCAGTAGAGCTACAGTCTCGACAGAGACTTCTGGTTTACTATAATATACCCATTTGTCCTGTAGTTAAAAGGTCATTGAATGGAATTTGGCTCCAAAGAGTATGACCAAAAATTCTGTACATTTTAAGTACAGTATTTTAAATTTCTTCTCCTTGAAAATCAAATCATTATATTTTTTAAGCATGAATTCAAAGCAAATTTTCAATGTTTTTAAAACTAGTCTGGCTTTGATGGACAAAATTTCCATTTTTCAAGGCATAACTGAAACTTGTCTGAAAGACTCATTCCATACATGTTAACTCTCCCGATTTAGGCGGGAGTCTACCGCTTTTTCACTCCATCTCCCGCCTACCGATTTAATTCAGAAATCTACCGCTTTTCTACAATAGCTGCGTCTAAAGTATTTTTGGTTCGCTTGGGTATCCATTTTTGAAGCCACTCTCATAAAATCTCGCTAGATATCGCGTGATTTGACTCGGAATCATACAAACGCTTTTTTGTTCATAGATTTCAAGCACGGATTTGACAACGACAACAACATAAGACTACCAGTGATTACATTGGTTACGATAAATTAATCAACATCCCTGCCATGAAAAAGGAGATACAGCTTTTAAGAATTAGATGAAAACATTTGACATCGTCTTTAAAAGCACAGAAGCTCACAACTTTATCAATAAAGTCAATAGAAATCACTCGATTGACCAAGTCATGTGGCACATCTCTACTTTCGTTTTCGATCATCGCGGGAAATCTGATTTATATAACGAAAGATACGAACTTGTTTTAGATCTAGATTAAACCGTGCCATCATTTGTTTTTTTTAAAAACTGAATGAATATTCAGAATTATTGCTTCTAGGCTATTTCAGCAAAGATCACTCTTCAAAAGGCTATGTAAAGCAGCCAATCCAAGCAAAATGATGAGCATGAAAAATATTTGAATTTGTACAATTTATGTCAAACTTAAGGTGTTTGTGTCTTCTTCTTTGCTGTTGATATTTAAGATTAATTAGTGTAGGTACCTGGTTTCATTTAAGGCTTATAATATACATGTATATTACATGAAAGATATCGATAATCCAAGCGTTAAACAACGCGCGCGCAATGCTACCGCTTTTGAGGTCTGAATCTCCCTCTTTTTCATCACAATAGGTTAACATGTATGCTCATTCTGAAGCCTCAGCCCCCCCCCCCCCACAATGGTGAAAGTGATTATTTTTAATTTGAATATTTGACTCTCTTGGTATATTTAGCAAGAATTTAAGTAAGTTTTGAACATAACCAAAATAGATGTCCACTGCCTCTGTACAATGCTACATCATGTAATATTCTGAACTGAATCTGTTTGTTTTTACAGCTTTATTATCGATGACGGAAAATACCTGGCTGAAAAACAAGAGATGAAGAAAAAACTTCCTTGAAGAAGACCCCAATGTGTTCTGTACGGTAACCTGAACTGTGACATGGGAATTGTGCCTGCCAAGAATAGTACACAGTGCTCATATTTACTTGTGATACATTAAGCAGTCCTTAATTCGTTACATGTACATGTATTTTTTTTATTTTTTTTTATATTTTTGGGGTAACTCAGATGCCATTGTTATCTTTTATTATTATCATACTAGTCTACTTCTATATATTTCAGCGATGTCTTCTACTGTAAATCACTTTTTAATTCATGAAAATTATATTTTCTCCTTATTCCAGTGTGCTCATCAAAATGTAATTCTTGCATGTAAAAGTATTCCTTAGGTATATATGGAGCAAAAACCATAAATAGTATAAAATTTCGTCTTGCTAATCAAGAGTCAATGAATATCCTGCAAAAATAAGGTGTCGCGCAAATTAAGTGTTCTACACTATATCATCACAAAAAATTTAAGAATTTCATGTACATTCCCTCCCCCCCCCCCCCATACCTCCAGAGGTCTGAGGGGTCAGTCAAATCCATCAGAATTAGTCACAATCTTCAAAATCTCTTACACAATGTATGAGACTATGTGTAGTAGACAAACTGCAGTCATTGATTATACATTTGTAATGAGTTATTTACTTGATATACAAAATTGTAATTTTTTTTTCATATAAATGTTAAGGCACCATCTTATTTGTTCATGTATGTACAATAAAACATTCACCCAGACTTACTTATTATGTATTTAAAAATTACATTTTTCCCCTTTATATTTAGTCATTTAGCAAGAAAAGGCAAACTATTTGTAAACAAAACTTCTTCCAAAATGAGTACATCTTTTTGTCAAAGCCCCCCCCCCCCCTCTCCTTCCCCCCACAGAAAATGTTAAATCGAGTCCATTTGTCTTTTACATCTAGTTGTCTTTAACATGAATGTAGAATCGAATTATAATATTACTGCCTTTGTTTCATTTTAAATTATGCGATGTAAAAATAAATTATTGTCGATCTCATTCTCTTTAGAGTTAATGTGTTGAAAGATTTTTTTCCCATTTGGAATGGTGATGTGATCTGTTAGATCAAAACAAAGAAAGATAAACAAGCACATACAGTCAAATCTCATTACATGTGTATCTTAAACACAATCGGACAGAGGAAAAAAACTATTGTAGCCAGGTGTTAGATCTTGGATCCACCTATTTGTCGTAAGTTTGTGGTTTGTAGTTAGATTGTTTGTCTGTCTTTATTGTCATTCTGATTTAGTATAATAGAGAGAAAGGGGTGTATGAGAGAGAGAGAGAGAGTGAGTTGTATTCATTACTAACAAAACCAGTTTTAAACCACCTGCCGCCTATACCCATATCGATGTACACCGTCAAGGTACCAGCACGACTTATTGAATGTATAGCATATAGGGTGATGTAGACTGGTAAGCTTTTATATACAAATGTATATTCATAATTTCCAGTTATATATTTATTGAAGTAATTTAAATATAAAGTTGATGTAAAGTATGGATATTTAAAGTTAGTGAACTGTGTGTAAAGTATGAATGTATAGTACTTTGTATGAATGTTGTAGGTTTATTCTCCATATATAAATTATCAAAATCCAAGAACTGAATTCTGTTCTGATCTCCACCGACGGGTTACACTATAAAAGTGTTAATTATTTACCTGGTAATATTGAAAAAGTATTGCTTAGTTTACATTATTGAGTCAATATACAAGAGGCATTAAATTTTTCATCCTATGTGTATTAAAATGAAAATGTATGATAATTTCATCACTTCAAATTATGATAGACCTGCCAGCTATTAAACACTATTAAAGAGTGTTTTATCGTGGGATTACTTGGTGTTACTTATGTAACTTGATGCTGACACAAATTCAACACTTTATAACAGAGAAACTGGGTTTATTTTTCTTCAAAGCTTAGTTCATATTTAACTTGAACATTCAAACAATTGTACACTAATTAACATTCTGACAAACGCATCTGTTCAAAAACAAAACAAATTTAAAAAGCAAAGTTTTACAACAACTTTATAGTAAATATATTTTATTCAACATTTGACTTAAACAGACTTAATATACATTCAGCACAATTTGTGTATACATGTTATATAATATGTATACATTATTAAAATATTAAAAATATCACAGAGTATAAATATGCCCCCTCTAACAGTGCATTGGATCAAATGTGGAAACATTAATTACGAGACCACAGTGATTAAAATGAACTTTGAAATTTTTATTCCGAGGACTTCCAGTGTCCAGAAAAATGATGGGAGCTCAGACATTAACCATATGATAAATTCAAATTGTATGATTGTTATACAACAGCCAGAACTGCAGACAATTATAATAGCATGAAAACGTTCTGAATATTAGGATCAAATTCCTTCATTGTATCCATTTCTTTAAAAGTTGTGATCCATTAGTTTTATAATTTTTGTTTATTTTCTTAACATTCCACTCAATTCATTCATTGTCTTTAATTTTGGGGTTGCACATAAACACATGCATTCACCCAAACTTTTAATTATATCAGTTTTTCTACCACACAAATCCTAGCCTCTTTTTAGACTTTGTCTGTCCATAAATGCTATCTTTAGTTTCCTCAGTGGAATCCCTCTGGTAATGGGGCATCTGTTTCCCGGATTTATCTGACACCATGTAGCTGGGTCGGATCCCGCCTTTTCCTTCAAACACTGGACCCTTGCCCCCTCCGGCCCCGTTTTTGGCGGCCTTCCTGAGGGGGTAGACATTGCGGCCACCCTTCTCGCAGTGTTCGATGACCCGCCCGGCGTATTCCTGGAATTGGTCCTCTTCCACGGCCAGAAGGGCTTGGTTCGCCTGATCCAGCGCCAACTTCTCCTGCTCCTGTTCAACCTCTTTCTGTTTCCTCTGGTTCTGAAATAATAGTCAGCAAAATATTAAATTACACACAAATGTACAGGGTAAAAAATACCATATTTCTGTAAGGTTTTGTTTTGTGTGTTGCTTTGCTAAAATTAAAACAAGGGTAAATTTGTGCAGGATTTCTTTGGGGAGGGGGGGGAGGGCTATTTATAAAATATTTTTAAAAGGTAAATGTTTATGGCAAGCAATAACTGACATAATGTCTGCCTATTTTTTCCAAATTACAAATGAATCAAATGATTGCCAAGAAATATGAAAAATAATGGACCGTCGCGAATAATGAATGTGTAATATATAGTTCATGATAAACATTTAAGCATTGAAACTGTGTTTTTAAATACTCTAATATACCATCAGAACAAGAACTAATAAATCTAGACATACCACTTGTTCGTCGAAGTTTTTGAGGTGACTATTATACAATTATTGCTGGTTTTTGAGGTCAATACGATGATTTAGCCATCTGAGGAGTACAATATTCACCGAGCCCGAAGGGCGAGGTGAATATTGTACTTCGAAGATGGCTAAATCATTGTATTGACCTCAAAAAAACCAGCAATACTTGTTTTATTATATGATTCACTGATAAAATGATACAGCTTATTTTATTAAGTCCTAGCCAAACACATGATAGAAGCAGAATTAAAATGTGAATAAACCTTACCAGTCGTATCAATTTGAAATGTTTTTTTTTTAAATCAATTTTAGTTGCCATGAAAAAAATATAAAATGTCAATCTTTCATATAGGATAGATTTTGAAAGGAAGGAGTATTATCAGTAAAAACTAACTGCCAAAAAGTAAAAAAAAAATTTGTTAAGTAAAAGTGCTGGAGGGGGGTGCCTGCATCCCCTCTTACCACCATTACCTAAAATATATTTCCTTACGTTTTGTTCACATGAAAATAAAAATCATAGTCGTTTAAATAGCTTTTAAAAACAATTTGTATTAATTTGGAATTTCCCAATCTATTTTTAGATCAATGTAGAGGAAATAAATCCTTGTATTGACCTGGAACGTCACGTGCAGGTCAATACAACGTAATATTTTTCTAACATAGTTGGATCTCAGCCAATCAGAGAGATGGAAATTAATCAATCATATAATAAATATGGTTATTAACACGTACCACTTGTTCCTGGTGGAAGTGTTTGAGGCCCACGGCGTCCTCGCGCCTCCTCATGTGTTTCTCCTCCTCGTTACGGCGGAAGATCTCGTCGGCGGCCTGTCTGATTCTCACCATCTCTAGCTCCTGTCTCCTCTCCTCCTTCTTCTTCTGCTCGGCCTCCCTCATCTAAAGTATGATACATGAATATTAACAATCCAGAAAGTTACCCTCCCCCCGTCACTTTTGTTTTCAGGTAACTTAACAGCACTTAAGCTTAGAGGTTAACATCACTTTTTTAATACATTAAAAATTTACATCACTTATGTTTTCAGGTTAGCATCAATTCAGTATTCAGAATAACATCAATTTTGTTTTGAGGTTAACATCACTTGTTCAGAGGTTAATATAACTGTAGATACTGACCTGTAGATTTCTGTGTTTAGAGGTTAATATAACTATAGAAACTGACTTGTAGATTTCTGTTTTTACAGGTTTATATTGATACTGACTTGTAGATTTCTGTGTTGAGAGGTTAATATAAGTATAGATACTGACCTGTAAATTTCTGTGTTTGGCGCTCTCCTCCATGTCCTTCCTGAGCTTGGCTTCCTTCTCGGCCTCTTCCTTTGCTCGTTTCTCTTCAGCCTCCTCCACAGCTCGGTGAATTCTCTCGTCTTCGTCGCTGACTTTCTGTTTTAGCTGGGCGGCCAGCTTCTCTCGAATCTGTTCTAGATTTCTCTGTTTCTCACTTTAAAAAAAAAGTGCATGTTCACTTTTTGAGCCAGACTTTTTACTCATGATAAAATCTCTCCCATATCTCTCTCAATTTTTTGTTAATATTTTTTTTTGTATAGCTTTCTGGTGTTAAAATAAGTTTCAAATATCAATTAGTAAATGGAATTATGAAATTTTCTCTTGAAAGCAATACAAAGAAATTTTCACATTCTTACTGATCTACTATACAAGAATATTGAACTGTCTGATATTTGAATAGTTAAAACTGATAAGGGGAACAACTCTGTCACAATAAAACAAAAATGATTTTTTGTTCAGGGGTAACTTTTTTACAACACCTGTCTCCCAAGTACTTGCAGATCTGTTAAGGGGGATAACTCTGCGAGAACTTACTTGTGAATCTGTTGTTCTTTCTCAGCTCTTAACTTCATCATTTTTCTCTTGGCAGCAGCAAAAATCCTGCATTCCTCATCTTCCTCCTTTGTAAAAAATAGTAAAAAATAATTTCTACAATTTATAATTTTTCAAGAACTTCTCTAAACCTCTACAAAACTACTCTGGATTTGTTGATTGCTGTACATGTTGGTAGCATTATATTAGTATTTACACGTATATATTGGATGTATTAATTTAATAGCAAATATAATGCATGCATGTATTAGATCTTTTTTTGTGTGCTGGAGAGCATTGGTGACAATATTTTCACCAACTATATTACTGGGAGGAAAAACACTTGCAAAAAATTAAAAAATGAAATAAATAAATAAAATACGTATCTGCATCTGAACAGATCAACTTGAACATTCTGACAAGTTTTCTAATTATAAAATGAATAATAAAATTTTCACCTAAGCGAACAAATATTTTCAAAAGATAAGCCCCATTCGCTTCCCTTCAACTACCCTGGATTATTCCTGATGCTGTGGAAGGAGATTCCGTAAATAAATCCCCAGAATTCCCTCCCTTACCTCCTCATCTGACCCTTGACCCCAGAATTTCCTCCCTTACCTCCTCATCTGACCCTTGACCCCAGCATTATCTCCCTTGTACCTCTTCATCTGACCCTTGACCCCGGCATTATCTCCCTTACCTCCTCCTGCTGCTCCATGACTTGTTTGATCATCTTCCTGTCTTTGATCTGGTCCATGTTGCCCCTCATCATCTGGAGTTTCTCGGCCCGTTTGATTTCCTCCAGTCGCTCTTTCTCGGCGTGGAACTGAATGGCCAGTTTCTGTAGCTCCTCC